CAGACAAAATACTTGTTACATGCCTATCGTTTATAAGTGTGGTGTCCTTTGTAGACATATTAATGAAATTTTATTTATCTCAATTAAAAATGATAAGGGTCAACAAATAATAAAATTATAAAAGGAAAGGAGCAATAGGAATCAAAATGCTAGATTTTAGTGTGAACGAACTTATATTGAGTTATAATAACATTAGTATAAACAGACATTTCATAACCTGTCATCAGGCTATCCTTAGTGTGAAATAAAAAACGCACGCTGATTTACATTAAGATCTGAGTTAAAACAAATATAATTTAAACGCAAGATTTGTTGTAAAATTAATGAAAAAAGTTAGTTTTAACATTGATATAATCAATATTAGCTCGTCGGTTTTACAAATAAAAGTTCGTCGGTTTTACAAATAAAAGATAGAAGAAAAAAATTAAAAATTAAAAATTTGTCAAAAATTTAATAAAAAAAGTTGATTAAAATAAAATAAAATAATAAAATAAATTAAAATTATTCAATATTTGAGGTCAAGTTAAATAAAAGTCAATAAAAAAAAAATAAAATAAAAGAAAAGAAAATTTATATAATTTGTTATGATAAATAACAGTTTTTATTATGGTTTGGTTTACTCTTCCCCGACTGCCTCTTCTGTTTCCCCGGCCACCTCCTCTTCTTATTACTCCAGAAGGACCTGGTCTTATATGGTTTTTGTGTTGTACATTTCGTCGAGCGTACCACCGTGCACGCGACCAACCACCTCTTCTTTTTTTTCTGAAAAATAAACACATTTATAGATTAATAATTAAACAATATGCATATGAATAAATCATTTAGTTACAAAAAAATAAATAAATATCAATATATATGAAAGAGGCTAATGGAGCCACCGCTGATTGTTAGTGCGAAATTTTTTATGTTTCTTATAGAAACTTGATTCGTCTGCATTGAGACATTAAAATGTACACTGATCTCAGATTCGAGACATTAAAGTGTACGAGAATTGCATATCAGCACATCAGCTCTGCCGCCGATGCTTGCCGATTCGAGTTCAGTCGGCTGCCAGCCGGGTATAAAAGAGGCTCGACTGTACATCTTCTCACCAGATCCCGTTCGCTGCTAGACAGCGAACATCACTCTACGAGCGTTCTCGTAGTCCGACCGAGCATACTCGGATTCTATGCCTTTTCCAACACACGAGTATCCTCGTGTACCGCCGAGCGTCCTCGGTATTCTTGCTCCCGCATACGAGTATATTCGTATACCCGCCGAGCGCACTCGGCTCTCTAGGCACCGATCTTCGTGCAACGGGCATTCCCGTGCACCAAGCCGGATTGCCATTCTACTCTCGCCTTCGTACAAGCGTTCTCGTACTCCCGCCGAGCGTAATCGGCAGCCTAATCCTTATATCGCGTTACCGCGCACCGTGATTCATCCACAGAATCCATCCGGCGGGTAAACTGCGTCAACCAATCCGCGCTGCCGAATAGTCCGCATCGATGTATGATCGAACGGACTCGCGATACTCTACGAACGCACTCACCGACAAGCGCTCCATCGTGTGCCAACCGTTGCGACACGATCGCCCGCGCTTGCGCTCTCGCCGACCGCACTAGGACGCCTCACGTCAGACTTTATAATATCGCATAAATAATTATTCCACCGTTGCATAAATAATTATTTCACCGTCGCCGTATAGTTGTTTCACCGTCGCCTTTACATTTATTTCTTCTGCTTAAATAATTGTTTCGCCGTCGCTCTCAAATAATTTCACCGATACTTTATATTTATTTCACGCTACTTGTAAACTTATTTCACGCCGCTTTTGCCGTTGCTAAATAATTATTTCACCGTGGTTATTCTACCGATCGCACCGATCCTTTGTTACTTATTTCACCGTTGCTATACTGATTTCACCGATACTTTTATAGTTATTTCGCGCTGCTCAAATAATTATTTAGCCGTTGCTTAATAATCATTTCACCGTCGCTTGTGTATTCTTTCACATCGCAATCATACATCGCTTGTATATTCTTTCACATCGCAATCATACATCGCTTGTATATTCTTTCACAACGCAATCATACATCGCCTGTACACACACAGTCATCAACATACCTAATTGAATAAATACGTTTTCTAATTTATTATTAACCAAACGCGTACATTCATTGACACACCCCCAACCGACCAAACCTGGATTCCGGCGAGCTATACCGCGCCCGAAAAAGCTCACACGGTTTCATCTTGTATCACGCAATAAAACTAAAGTTAAGAAATCTTCATGAATTGAAAAATCATATTGAATGATCCGCACAAATATTGATAGCTGACTTATATCTGAATTATCAGTGCTCTCGTCTAAACAAAGAGAATAGTATTTACATGTCGCTAATAAGTTTTTAAATTTATCCTCGATGTTCGCGATCGGGATAAGACTCCGATCGGAGCAGAGAATTGCCGAGTGCGCTCAAAGAGAGCGAAGGGTCAGTTTGGCGGAAAGGAAAGTACGGAGCGAGCAACGAAAGGGGCGAGAAGGAGAAAGAACGCTGGCTGTCGCACGAAGCGGCGACCGAGCGAGAGAGAAAGCCAGATAGAAATAAGTGAGCGAGAAGTGAGGACCCGCGGATGCGGCGGAAACGGATCAAATCAAATGGCCGAGATAAATGTTCGTAGAGCGTTAATATTCGCAGAATAATGCACTTTATTTTCAACAACTAATTAAACGAATTTGTTCAGAATTCAAATTGTATTTTTCGGCATGTAGATTAATTGTGTTTGGCCATAAATTGTTTGTTTGACATCCGTTCAAGAATCACGTTATGATTTCGGTATTGACCACGACTATACGCGTGATCACCCGATCTCGTACGCGTGATATTATAAGAATGCGGAGATTCCGGCGTGTTTTTGTGCTCGATTCTCACAGAGCGCAGGCAGTCAGATATTATTCGGCTAGCGATCAGTACACAACGATTCCCGCGTTATCGTTCGGCATCGACGAAACGTTTGCTATCGTCGCACATAGTCGTGTATTATCAACGTTGTTGAAATTTCATTAAAGACTTTTGATTGAATTGTTATTCGGACCAGTTTTGTGTTTTTTCATCCTATACATCTACTCTCGTCGCGGACTCTCCTAGACAGTGGCCCGTAACCGGATAAAAAATATATTTGTAAAATTTTGATTCACAGCACGTTAAGTCGAAGGGCGTGTACAGAATTAACAAAAAGTTCGCTGGCGGTTAAGCCCGTCGAATAAGTTCACGCGACAAGAGTCTAAATCTCGCAATAAGACGAAAGAATCGAGAAACAGCTGATATCGAGGCCCGAAACTGAGCTTTCGTACGCTTGAGAAGAAAGTGAAAAAATAACTAATAGAACTCGGCGACTTGAAGCGTCTTTTCACTCGGAATTAAAGAAAACTTCTGAATTCGTAAAAGTGACCAAGTGAGCGATTGTCCTGTGGATCTGCGTGCGAACGCCTTTTTCACAGCGGAGAGAGGGCCGTATAGTCTCTTATGATTCGTGCAGACCTAAATTCAAGCGCCAAAGAGGGGAACGCTATCTCTGATTGTTTTGAAATTTTCGGCTTTTCAACGCTCTTCTCGTGGCCTTCGTTGTTAGAAAGAAAAATAAAAACAATACCAGCGACTCACTCGAGATTGTTTACCAAGGCATGTTTTTCCGCTGCTTTCTCTAAGCGAATGCTCGAAAGTTAAACATGATCATATTCCGCCCGTTACTAGGAATTTATTACAATGTGTAAGGTAACGAATTAATACAAAGATGAGAAAACTTATAAAGACGAAATGACGCACGCTGTGCGAGATTCAATCGTTAACATACCGCCCGCCTCGAAATGATCGTTTCAAAAGGATGACGGTAATTGGGCATCACAGCGAAAAAGAGATAGCTATTTTACAGATAGGCGAATGATCATTTGTTGGAGGCGATCAGTATTTACATTAAGAACTAGCGCGTTCTAATTTGTCGATTCCATGTCGATCGGTAGGAGACATATTTTCGCTAGCGGTCGTTTGTACTCGCCGGAAATGGTTTTTACTGTGACAACACGCGTGAGGTTGTCAGGGCCCGCATGACATTTTAGAATGCGCCCTAATTCCCATTTGCACAGCGGGAGCAATGAGTTTTTAAGCAATACTAATTGGCCGACTCGGACAGAATCTTTGGCAATTTTTCGCCACTTCACCCGTTGTTGAAGCGTATTGACATAATCATTTTGCCAAAGTTTCCAGAATCGCTCAGTCAGCTGTCGCACTAGCTGCCATCGGGACAGACGATTCTCGTTGATTTCCAATACGGACGGTTCCGGAGGCGCAGTTAAAGCGGACCCTATCAAGAAGTGGCCTGGCGTGAGCGGCTCGTAATCGTCGACGGTATCAGTAAGCGGTGCGAGTGGCCGCGAATTTAGACATGCTTCGATGTTACAGAGCACGGTAGCAAATTCTTCGAAGGTCAAAGTGTAAGACCCGACTATCCTACGGAGGTGATGTTTTACGCTTCGGACACCTACCTCCCAGAGCCCTCCGAAATGTGGAGCCGATGGAGGAATAAAACGCCATGTTACGTTATCCGTGGCCGTGATATTTAGAAATTCAGGCTCGCGAAGGGCCGCTCGGAATGCCATAGATAACTCGCGATCGGCCCCTACGAAGGTAGTTCCGTTGTCGGAGTACATGAACTCTGGAAGTCCTCGTCGTGCGCAAAATCGAGAGTAAGCTCATAGAAAGGCCGAGGTGGCATAGCCCTCGACAACTTCTAGATGGATAGCGCGAGTCGCCATACATACGAAAACAGCGATGTACGCCTTGCGTGATTTAACGCCGCGGCCGGACATCGCTCGAATTGAGACCGGACCGGCGTAATCAACACCGCAATGCAAGAACGCGCGTGCGGGAGGCGCGACTCGCACCGTCGGCAAGTTGCCCATCAACTGCGTTGGTGTCGCCGCCTTTTCTCGAGTGCAGACTATGCACTGGTTTATCACCGCTTTTACCACGCTTCGAGCTCGGATTATCCAGAATTCCCAACGCACTGTTGCGAGCGTGAGTTGTGTGCCGGCGTGAAGGGATCGCAGATGAGCGTAGTGAGCTAGGAGCGTTACCAGTGGATGCGACGCGAGAATGATGGGATGTTTGCGCGGAAGAGCAATGAGAGCGTTGGACAACCGCCCGCCAACGCAAATTAATTTATCTTTGCCCAGGAAAGGATTGAACGAGAGAAGTCGGCTCTTTGAGGACACAGCCTTTTGATTTTGTAGCGCTTTTCGCTCTATTGGAAATAATTCCTCCTGAACGCGCTGGAGCCAGAAATCTCGCGCGGTTCGGCATTCGTTCGCCGACAGGGCGGATGGAGCCTCATCGAGCGTTACATGATGCATCGCCTGATGACGAAGCCGACGAGTGAAGCACATAATGTACGCGGTAACGCGTATGAGTTTAGGCCATGAGGAATAGCGCTTCGATAGATCCCACGGCTCAGGCGGAGTTACGACATGAGCGGCGGCGCAAGGTCGCTATTCGAGAGACGGTTCTGACGAAGAGTCAACTGGCGCGGGCCATTCAGATGTCGGAAGACGCAACCACGTTGGTCCCTGCCACCAAAGTTTGTGAGCAGCGAGCTGGCTGCCGAGAATTCCGCGAGACGCGCAATCGGCAGGATTGTCCCCGGTTGGAACATGTTTCCAGGAGGCGAATGGAATCCGGGATTGGATTTCGGACACGCGATTTGCCACGAAAATCTTTCACCTCGACGGCTGTTGACTCACCCACGCAAGCACGACGGTTGAATCCGTCCAGCAATGACACGAAGCTGTGGTGAGACGGAGAGAGTTACGCACAAATTCCATCAACCGAGACAGCAGGACGGCCGCGGCTAATTCTAACAGAGGAATACTCAAGGATTTGATCGGCGCGACTTTCGACTTTCCGACAAGCAACGCGGAAGTTATTTCCCCGGAAATGGATGTGAGCCGAATATAAACGGCGGCGGCGTAGGAAGTAGTAGACGCGTCAGAGAAGCCGTGAAGCTCGCACTCCATCGTATCGGATCCTAGCTGTATCCAGCGAGCGAGTCGCTGCCCGTTTAAGTCAACCAGCGAAGTTTTTATGGACTCCCAATGGCTGATCAATGACGATGGAATAGCTTCGTCCTAATCCACTTTAAGCTGCCACAGTTTTTGGAGAAGGATCTTAGCTGTAACTGTCACGGGCGTGCTCCAACCGAGTGGATCGAACAGTTTCGCGATGGTGGACAAGATCGCACGTTTTGTGTTCGGAATCGAGAGAGGAAGCAACACGCGAAATTCGAATACGTCCGCAGCCGGATTCCATCTAATACCTAGAATTTTTATGTGCTCATCGGCCTGTAGAATTTTAGTGCAAGCTAACCCGTGATTTTCGACGGCGATGTCGCTCAATAATTTGGAAGAATTGCCGACCCATTTCCACAATTCGAACCGGCCCTGAACTAACAATGCGCACAGTTGATCGCGTATTTGTTTAAGCATCGTTTAAGCTGTCGTCCGCCCCGAAGAGGACATCGACGTAGATGTGATCTTGGAGCACTGAGACAGCCAAGAAAAACGCATCTCCTTCGTCTTGAGCGAGCTGACGAAGCACGCAAAGTGCTAAAAATAGAGCCGACGCCGTACCGTATGTCACCGTAAGCAGCTGATATGCTTGAACACTCTGGTCGTCATCACGAAACCACAAGATTCGCTGGTAGTCGACGTCGCGAGGATCTACCCGTATTTGGCGATACATTTTAGCGATATCGGCAGCGTAAACGTAGCAAAACTGTTTCCATCGTAGAATTACAGCGGCTAAGTCGGTCTGTAATTTCGGACCCGCGAGCAAATGATCATTTAGCGACGATCCATCACTAGTGCGACTCGAGGCGTTAAAAACGACGCGCAAATGCGTGGTAACGCTGCTCTCGCGAATGACCGGATGATGCGGAATGTAGACGCATTGCGCCGAGTCGGGCCCGGGAGACGATATTGTTCGCATGTGTCCCATTTGCTTATACTCGCTAAGAAAGTCGCTATATTCCGTTTTTAATTGCGGATGTCCATTGAAGCGTCGCTGCAATCCTTGCAAAAGGCGTTTGGCGGTCCCGTGCGAGCTTCCAATTTCGATCGGAGGGCCTCGCTTGAATGGGAGACGCACGATGTACCAACCGTTCGAATCGCGCGAATGTGTCGACGCAAAATGCTCCTCGCACTGCTGCTCCTCGGGGCTGAATAGTGTCTGTCGCGGCAGCTCCTCGATCTCCCAAAAATTCTGGAGAAGCTGGTCGAGTGATGGATTGTTTGCGCAATACAGGACGGTGACGTTACGTGAGGCCTTACGAGTCGCCGTCGAGCCCGAGATGATCCATCCAAAGACGGTCTTTTGCGCCACAGGTTGGCCGCTTTTGCCCTTTTGCACGCCCTCGAGAATCAGATTACTATAAAGATCGGCGCCTAAAAGAAGATCAATTGGATCTGCGCTGAGGAGATCCGGATCCGCTAGGGAAAGATCCGCGAGATGATCCCAATTGACGGGAGAGACTGCAGGTGACGGTGCGTAGCTCGTAAGCGACTTTAATATAGACGCGCAAATCTCGAGGACCGGCTTCGAGTTGTCGCAAGGAGAAAGAATAATGTTGGCGGCGTAACAACAAGTGCCAGCGTCGATGCCTCCGACGCCGGAAATGGCAACCGGCGCGCGAACGCGGCGCACTTTCAGGAGCCGCGCAAGTCGTTTGGTCATAAAGGTTATTTCCGAGCCTTGATCGATTAATGCTCGAACGACGATGGCACGACCTGATACTGTCCGAGCCTGGACTTTAGCGGTCGCTAGCAGCACGTGAGGTCGCGAAAAAGTTATTGTCGTCATATTTAATGCAGTGCCAGCCGCAGTATCAGCGGTCTTTGCTTGCGCATCGGAGTCGAGCGGGCTGGCTGCTTCGATTGATGGAGAATCCGCATTGAGATGTAACATCGAGTGATGCTTTCGCTGACACGTGCGACAGGCGTACACCCTGGGGCACGATTTTACCGCGTGTTTGGTGCTCAAGCAGTTTATGCAACGGTTGCTGCTTTTGATAATTTCCGCACGTTGAGTCGGGCTTTTTTTGATAAACTGCGGACACTTGTTTATAAAATGAGCCGATTTGCACAGTGGGCACGAGATTGCAGACGTTGCGGACGCCGTCGCGCTCGTTGCCTTTTGCGACCGTGCGAGTTTCGTCGCGCTTGGAGGCGCCAATTCCTCGAGAGCGCGAGCGCGAGAGGCGATGAAGCGATCGAGGTCTGCGTATGACAAAATAGCCGTTTCGTTCACCCCTTTGAGCTTCCACGCTTTTCACGTAGCAGGATCGAGTTTTTGCGAAACGGTATACACGAGAAGATCGTTTAAAATGTCTTCGGACGATCGCTTGAGAGTTTTCAGCAACGCAATTGCTTGATTTGTTTTATCTCGCAATTCGTTTAACTCCGAAGCTGACTCGCGTAAAACACTCGGAAGATTACACAGCGCGACGGCATGAATGTCGACCAAGCGACGTTTGTTCTCATAGCGCGACACAAAAGTTTTCTAAGCGATCTCGAAATTGTCGGCTGTTACTGGAATGTTCTTAATCGCGTCCAGAGCGCGCCCGGTCAAGCTTGATGATAAGAAATGCATGCGCGCGAACGCGGACAAGTCTTTATTATTGATAATGAACGACGAAAAACGATCGCAAAAACTTTCCCATTCGTCGTACTTGCCCGAAAACGGTGGAATGCTGATGGGTGGCAAATGAGACAGCGAAAAGGCCGACGGAGACCCACTGTTGCGATGATTTGCCGAGTTGGAAGTCATCGGCGGTTCGATCTCCTCGAGGCGCTCCGCCATGTAGTCCAGGGTCTCCTGATAAACGTCTTCGTGCATGTCGAAAAGCTGACTCCGGAAGTAGTCGACCGACTCCCTCTTTGCTTCTGGCACGGCTTGCATCAAGGATGAATGTGTCTCAATGCACTGAGCCCAAGTTTCTTTTAGGGCGGACACTCGCGACCGTATTTTTGCGGGTGTATAATTGTTTTTCCCGACCTTTCGAAAATTGTCGAGTGACCGTGAGATTGAATGAAACAACGCGTGCTGTTTCGCTAAAAGTTCACTCATGGTGATATGCCGAATTGTTACTTATTGTCCACTCACTTTAACGCTCCGCACTGATTGCCCTTAATCCGGTTCGAAGGACCAAATTTATGTTCACGATTGGGATGAGACTCCGATCGGAGCAGAGAATTACCAGGTGCGCTCAGAGAGAGCGAAAGGTCAGTTTGGCGGAAAGGAAGGTACGGAGCGAGCAACGAAAGGAGCGAGAAGGAGAAAGAACGCTAGCTGTTGCACGAAGCAGCGACCGAGCGAGAGAGAAAGCCAGATAGAAATAAGTGAGCGAGAAGTAAGGACCCGCGGATGCGGCGGAAACGGACCAAATCAAATGGCCGCGATAAATGTTCGTAGAGCGTTGATATTCGCAGAATAATGCACTTTATTTTCAACAACTAATTAAACGAATTAACAAAAGGTTCGCTGGCGGTTAGGCCCGTCGAATAAGTTCACGCGACAAGAATCTAAATCTCGCAATAAGACGAAAGAATCGAGAAACAGCTAATATCGAGGCCCGAAACTGAGCTTTCGTACGCTTGAGAAGAAAGTGAAAAAATAACTAATAGAACTCGGCGACTTGAAGCGTCTTCTCACTCGGAATTGAAGAAAGCTTCTGAATTCGCAAAAGTGACCAAGTGAGCGATTGTCCTGTGGATCTGCATGCGAACGTCTTTTTCACAGCGGAGAGAGGGCCGTATGGTCTCTTATGATTTGTGCAGACTTAAATTCAAGCGCCAGAGAGGGGAACGCTATCTCTGATCGTTTTGAAGTTTTCGGCTTTTCAACGCTCTTCTCGTGGCCTTCGTTGTTAGAAAGAAAAATAAAAACAATACCAGCGACTCACTCAAGATTGTTTACCGAGGCATGTTTTTCCGCTGCTTTCTCTAAGCGAATGCTCGAAAGTTAAACATGATCATATTCCGCCCGTTACTAGGAATTTATTACAATGTATAAGGTAACGAATTAATACAAAAATGAGAAAACTTATAAAGACGAAATAACGCACGCTGCGCGAGGTTCAATCGTTAACACTCGAGGTGATTACCAATGACACTGATTCCTCGAGAAACTGTTTGTGATGATAAAGATACGGTATCAAAGTATTGTGCAGTTTCATTAAGATTGAAAGCTTTTGCCATTTCTATGGCTCCTTTTTTTATGAGATTTCCCGTAGAAAAACTTCTTTCCGCAAGCTAAAACCCAAGTAGCAAGGTGACGTCAGAAGACGACATAATGACGTCTATTTTTAGTCATTTTTGGACTATGACGTCGACGACTAATAATGGACGTTTATAAGACGTCATTTCTTAGACCAGCTAAAGACGTCATTTTGAAAACGTCTTAAGATTGTCCAAATAAATTTATAGTATAATTATTTTTACTTCTTAATAGTGTATAATTATAAATTAATTATAAAATAAAAACCACAAAATTAATTGCAATATATTTTTAAAGGCCATTATGTGCTTAATGAAAAATTAAATAAGGAATAAGAAATAAGAAATAAGAAACAAGAAATAAAAACGAGTTGATTAATCATGACTGATCGACTCGTTTATTTCTTATTTCTTATTCCTTATTTTTCCATTGTGTGATAGCTTTAAGTTGTGAAACATGCACTTAAAAAGAATCTGCGCAGAAGTATACGCAATGCGCATTACTAGTTCGACGGGAATTCGGTCACGTACGTTGTTTGCTGTTACACGTGTAGCGTAATGGTTATGTGTGCGAACACATGCAGCTTTTCAAGAATATAATTTACAAGTAAGTAATTTAATTAAATTTTATTGTAAAATTTATACGTGTAAAATAATAACTTAAGCCAGTGCTCGGAATTAGTCTGAACATTTCAGCCGATTTCCGTGGTATACGCCTCCTTTCCTCTCCTTACAGCGCGCGCCGCAGCCGCTAGGGCCAGCGCCGCCGAGCGTTAGGAGCGGCACTATCTGATTAGGTTCTATGAGTAGGTTCTTCTCCCTATTTATTAAAATTTAAAAAATTTATTAAAATTTATTAAAAATAAATTTTTTTAAATTTATTAAGTGGAAATATTTTAATAGATTTCTACGTCACCCATGAGGTACTAATACTAACACGTTTTTCAAAAAAGTGGTTTTTATCTACATTATTGCATCAATTGTTTATTCTCATAAAAGGCTAAGAAAATCTAATTAAGAAAATCTCTTTTACATATATATTTTTTTTTAAATTAAGAATTTATTTTTATCTTTAGTGGAATAGGTCTACGGGGGAAACCATTTTTAAAAAAACGCGTCAGCATTAGTATCTCATGGGTGACGTGGAAATCTATTGAAATATTTCCACTTAATAAATTTAAAATAAAAATTTATTTTTAATAAATTTTAATACATTTTTTAAAATTTTTAATAAATAGGGAAAAGAACCCACTCATAATCAGATAGTGTCGCTCCTAACGCTCGGCGGCGCTGGCTCTAGCGGCTGCGGCGCGCGCGGTAAGGAGAGGAAAGGAGGCGTATACCACGGAAATCGGCTGAAATGTTCAGACTAATTCCGAGCACTGACTTAAGCTAATGTGAAACTAATTTAAAATAAAATTAATAAATTATATTTGTACTAAAGGTATGTACTAAAGTGAGAAAAATTATATTAAGTTAGATTAGGTTAGAGGATGTAATAATGCCGTTTGCTTAGCTGCCGGCGCGGATGGGGGTATCGTCCCTGCCTCCGCCGCGTCGTCATCCGACGTAGGACTAGCCGCGGGGTTGACGTCGAGCCCCGCGGTGGAATCGGTCTTTGATGGTGGACTGGCTGACTCTGTGGAGGAGTGCGGGGGATTATTCCCCCCTCTCACACTTAGGGGGGGTGAAGGCGAGTCGCCCGAGACCCACCCTGTTTCATCGGAGGAGGAGGGGGAGAGGAGAACTTCTCCCGCGGTGGAGGATCTCCCCATACAAGAGTTGTTGGAGGGGGAACTTGGTGAGTCCCCCAACAGCAGGGACCGTAGATCCTCGCCGGGGACGGACGCCGTGCGGCGGCGCGCTACGGCAAGGATGGCTGGCGGGCGGCTCCTCTCACTGAGGAGAGGCCAGGGGAGGCCGCGGAAGGACGGATCTGGTCCGTTCAAACCCGCCCCTCCCCTGGCGGCGTTGGAGTCGGACTCCGACGACGGGGAGAGGGAGATGGGCACCTCGGCGACGGAAGTGCGTCGGAGGGTGCGGCCGCAAATCAGGACGTTGGGCCCCGCGGGGGGCAACCCGATTTGCGGAGGTGGTACCACCTAGCTTCTCCGGCCCGCAGAAGAGAAGGGCGGAGGAAGAGATAAGGAAGATGGAGAGGGGGCACGGACTGACGAGAGTGTTGAGGAAACATCGATCAGGGGCTCCGTCTCCATCGAGGAGGTGCGGCAGCGTGCCGCAACTAAGGGAGTGAGCGGTAAGCTCAAGCTAGGGGTCCTACGTCCTCGAGAGAGGTCGTTCGGACCATGGCCGCTAGGGCCTCTGAGGGCGGAGACCCGGGCTATTGGAGGGAAAGGGTCCTGGCGTTGGAGAGGGACATGGAGTCCCTCAAGGCTGAGAATGGCCGTCTCCAGCGCAGGACCCGGAAACTTCAGGCGGAACTCGCCAATACCAGGGCGGGCGAGAGGCCCGTCTCCCCGGGGGATGACGGGGAGGCCGCCGTGGAGGTGGTTGAGGGAGGGAGGACGATCCCCCCAACCTCCGTCGGGGAACTTGCGGTGACCCTGGCGGAGATCAGGGACAGACTAAAGGGCCTGGAGGAGAGAGTAGCAATGCCCCCTCCCCTCCTCCAGCCCCTACCTCTTCCCGCCCTCGGGTGTCCCCCACTGGGGGGTAGCTCGGGGTAGCGGGGGGAGGAAGAAGAAGAGAAAAGGGAGGACTGGGATGGCGGTTCCTTGGGGAAGTGGGAATGTTTCCCAACCCCCGCCGGGGTCTCCCGCCAATCCCATTTGTCCCCCCCCCCTGCTGGGGATGCTAATCCGGCGGCGGTGGCCCCAAATGATTGGAACACCGTTGCCCGAGAAAAAAAGGCTGGGAAGGGGGGAGTGGGATTTGGTCCCCCCACTCCTCCCGGCCGGTTTAGGCAGGCTCCGCAGAGGGTGGCCCCTAAGGGGGCGGCACCCGGGAAGAGCCTGGCCAAGGAAGCGTGGAAACGCCTCCCTCGCTCCGCGGCAGTGATGCTGATGGGGCAGGATAATCTGTCCGGAGCATTGGCCGCCGCGAGGCGGGAATTCAGCGTGAGCGAACTTGGCATTGAGTGTATCAAGACCAAGGGAGTTTTTGGTGGTGGGGGCCTCTTCCTGGAAATACCAGGAGGCGGTCCGGAGGCGGAGGCAAAGGCGGATCGTCTAACCACGGTCCTCCAGATGGCCCTCAAGGAAAACTTTGAGGGCATCAGGGTCACACGACCGACAAAGCGTCTTGACCTCCGGCTAAAGGGGGTTGAGGAATCGATCTCCGAGAAGGAGATCCGCCAGGCAATTGCTGCCAATGACGAATGCTCCGAATCGGAGATTCGAGTGGGTCCGCTGCGCCCCGCTGTGCGTAGGTTGCGCACAGTGTGGGTGCAATGCCCGGCCAGGGCTGCTGTTAAGGTGGCGGAGGCAAGGAGGATCACAGTGGGAATGTGGTTCTCCGTACGGGCTGAGCTGTTGGCTAACAGACCAGCCCGCTGCTTCCGCTGCCTCGCGCGTGGACACACGCAGCGGAGGTGCCCGTCCAGAAAGGGCAGGGCCTCCTGCTGCTTCCAGTGCGGGGTGGAGGGGCACAAGGGGGCAACCTGTGGACGTTTGCCCCACTGCCCCATTTGTGCCACCGCTGGCAGGAAGGCGGATCACAGGGCGGGGTCGGAGAAATATCCTCCGATCCCCCCTGCGCCTAGAGCTCCTCCCAAAAGGAGCAACCTAACTCCCCCCCCCCTGGAGAGGGTGGGGCAACCACGCCTACTGGCCCGGGCCCCGCCTCCCCGGGGGAAGGGGAGATTTTGGTGAGAAGATCTCCCGAGCCTGGTCC